TAGATAATGTATACAATCCTGTTATGAAAATAGAACGTGCCACAAATTTCGTTCACCAACTATTCGTATTTTTGCTTTTTGATTACTGTAAACAACATGCAGACTTTCTAATCTTTAATCCCAACATTCCAAACACCCACCTGTTTACGATATTCTTGAAATTGGAATCTTGAACAACAAGATTGTCAACAACAGCAACAAAAATTAGATTGATATTTTTTGCATGCAAATAACATGGCCTCAATGTCTCGGAGATAAAAGTCAGACAAAATTTGAGATTGCATGGCGGATCAAAATGGCGGATTGATCTCGCATGCAGTATTCGTTTTATTCTAGGACTTTTTTTTATTTCTTCCAAGGATTTCGATTGAAATGTAAACCATTTCTAGAAATGGGTATTCTTTACTTTTTAATCTTCGGCGGATAGATGGAAAAAGATTTGCGATCGAATCTTTCCCTTTTATCAGATTATATGGGCGAAGTTTAGAATTTCTCGTGTAATGTTTAATATTCTATTTTTTCCCTGATTTCAATTTGTTTTTTTGCTTGGGCTCATGGGATATAACAGATTATATTATTTTATACTTTAAACATAAAAATAAATTTTATACCACTTTAATGCGAATCGTTTTTTATGTAATCTTCAAAATATTGAACAGATTCTGTATAAAAGGGTGGAAATGTAGAAAATGTTATTTTTTTTATAAAAACAACGAATTTATTTAGATAAATTAATAAAAAAATAGAATTATTTTTTTTTTTTTTGTTACTTACAAATTTAATAAAAACACCACTATCTTGAAATTAGCGAAAGAATTATACTTATATTATTTGGAATCCACAAAATTATATTTAGAATATTGTCCTACTATTGTATAAGGATGTGGATGTGGATTAGATATATGATGTTTTTATTAAGGATGTTATTTTACAATAAAGAATAATTTTACTTTTACTAATAAATAATTATTAACATATAATTGCTTATAAATAGAAAATATTCTTTATAGTAAAATAATCCTTAATAAAAACATCCTTATCTTTACTCTTCTGAACAGTCTTATCTCCTAAGCAACGAATTTATTTATATAAATCAATAAAAACGCTGAATTACTTTTGTATATAAATTTAACAAAACCCCTCTACCTCGATACTAACGAAAGAATTAAACTTGTATTATTTGGAATCCTGCAAAATTTTATTTTGAAATATATTTTTCTACTATTGGATAAGGATGTTTTTATTAAGGATGAGGATGTGGATTAGAGGTAAGGATGCTTTTATTAAGGATTCTATTTTACAGTAAAGAATATTTTCTACATATACTAATAAGCAATTTTAAGCATAATTGCTTATTAAAGTATATTGATTATTTAAAATATTGTAAATAACATCCATATCTCTAAACTTACTCTAAGCAATCTTTATCTCTAAATAGTGTATATCTAAGCAATTATATGTTAATAATTGCTTACATTATCAATAAATAGTATATTATTATAATGTTACATTATATTATACCAACGGCCGTACTGCATGCTGAATATACCGGTTCTCGTTAGGTCTGAAGTTAAGCATCGTGGGCGCGGTGTCCAGTACTTGGGTGGGTGACCACCTGGGAACACTACGTGCCGTTGGCAAATTTGGGACCTGAATGGCCGAGTGTCCCAGCGCTCCCGGTGCCTGGGATTTCTAGTTTGAATCCAGCGGTGCCATGGATGTTTGTAGTGGTTCGGAATCCACTTTAAGCCGTAAGGTCCCGGTCTTCTATATGACTGTAAGAGCGTCACTGGTACAAAGTCAGGCTTCTACCTACGGGGTGCTCCATCACAACAGAAGCTGCTTCCTTCCCTTCAATCATGAGTCCATATAGGCTTGTGGGCAGCCAGCCAAGTGGGATAAAGAAACAACAACAACAACAAGCACATTATATTATTATATTGTAACATTATTAACTTTGTACATTATTGTGTGGTATTATTAGACTATATAATGCTCGTGCATTTAAAAGTACTTGCCAAATTAATAAAAGAACTGAAAGTATTGTGGATGTTACTTTTAATTAAAACTATTGAAGATGTTATATTAAAACTATTGAGGATGTTACTTTACAGTAAGAATTTTTTGCGCGCATACACTAATAAGCAGTTATTAACATATAATTGATTATAAGTGAAAATATTTCTTTTAGAGTAAAAATAGCATCCTTAATAAAAGCATCTTTATCTCTAATCCCCTCCTAGAAATTAGGATGTTAATAATTGCTTAAATTGAAAAAATAGTACTATATTATTATAATGTGTAAGCAAGGTATTCAGACTGTCATATACAGTGTGTGCTTTTACAAAAACCCCTGATAAATGTAAACATTAATTAAAATGTTTATTTTGCATCAGATATCTAGACTTATTTTCTACATGCATTTTATATTTTTATAATATAAATTGCATCAGAAAAAATAATGAACTGTGATTTAGGTTTTTTAAATTTATTTAATCCTATCATTGTAGAATTCAGAATTATTCTCGTTAATTTAATAGCGATAATAAATAGAGTTTAAATTATTTTAAAATAGCAATATTCATATTTTTAAATGTGAAATAGATTACATGAAAATTGTTATGCATATTTTTCGTTGTTATTTTTTTAAAAGAAATACGTTTTTTTTCTCATACTACTTGGTAGACAGCAACGTCTAGATCAAGTCCAGAACCCGTGTGGTCTCATGTAAGGAGGGGGGCAGCTTCTGCTGTGATGGGGCACCATGGGTAGGCGCCTGACTTTGGCCTGTGTTCAAGGCTGAGTGGGCAGTATCTTCCGGGAGTGACTTTTAGGGGGAACTATTGTTCTTAAACTATTTCAAACCTTCCATTTCTCTATTACTAGACCACTCAGAAATAGAATGAGAATTTTCTTTAAAACAAGTAATACAAAAAAAAATTTTTTTTTAAAGTCAATTCCTACTTTTTTTCACTATATTGCAGAATATCCTAAATAAATAAAGTTGAAATTTTCCTCTTGCCTCTGGCGCCATCTACTGGCAGATACATGCAACTTAAATGTAAAAAAAAACTAAAATTAATGAATTAAATTTAATTGCTGAATTAATATTTGAAAAAACTGTATTAACATCCAGTGTCCTCCACTACAAGTTCAAAAAAAATGTATTTGAACTTGAGTGGATGAATAAAAAGTAGTTTATGAACGATTAAAAATTTGAACAAGATATATATATATATATATAGCGAATGTGTGAACTAATAGTAGTAATTGAAAAAGGAAGTTAAAAGTTACATTCTTCTCCTCTATATACTTGATAATAAAGTAATTCAAATTAATGAATAGTGATTACAACGCTTTCTTAAAATGGTTTATTTATATGAATTTTCTGGCCACATATTTAAAAAAAACTCACAAAAAATAAATAATTTTTTTGGCGGAATTTATTTATTTACCCACAAAAATTATTTATGGGAACTAATCTAAATTTGATTCCAGACAAAGATGGCGGCCGAATGGATTCTTATTCGAATATTACCTTCCACATATTGTTTCTTCTGCCTGAGGCTGGTGGAGCGGAAGTTGAAGGGGTGAGGCCCCGCCTCACGATATGTTCTTTGATTGAAATCTCGGATGGAGCATCCTACGCGAATGACATTGATTTCCGTTCCTTTTTTTTTTCTTTCCATCTTTTTATTTATATTTCATCTCCGGTATTTTCATTTTCTTGCAATAAGGTCGATCTATTAGTATTTTTTTCCAACTTGTGCGTAACAATTTTTATGAGAATGTGCCTTTCCAATTCTTGCCGTTTCTGAAAAGATAGAGAAATATTTGCTCGGTTCTTTCTGGGAAGACAGTTGATATTTACAAATTAAAAAAATATATATTGCTTTGATAAATATACCCACACACTTTTACATGCAGAAAAGGAGCACCAGCATATTTGAATATCGTGAAATGTCTTGGGGCATAAAAGTCGAATACACGATTTAATGAATTTTTTACCGAACCTAATTATAGTAATATTTTAAATAGTTGAACTTCTCAATTTTCACAGAAAATTTAATTATAAAGAAGGAAATATAAATAGGCAGGAAACGGCTTGTAAAATTACCTATATGTGAGAAAGTCAAATTTTAATGGAATGGAAACGGCTTTTGTAAAATTACCTATATGTAAGAAAGTCCAATATTAATGGAATAGAAATGACAAACTCATGTTCCTCTTTTTGGTCACGCGCTTGATTTTGCAAGTTATTATTTGATATTTTATTTTGAAATATTTTTCTGGAAAGACAGTTGATATTTACAAATTAAAATATATTGCATTAATAATAAATAAGCAAACACACATATTTGAACATCGGGAAATATCTTGGGGCATATAAGTTTAACGCGTGATTTTATATGTAATTTCTTTGGGTTTTTTTTACCAAACCTAATTATAGTAATATTTTAAATGGTTAAGCCTATCAGTTTTCGCAAAAGAAAGAAATATAAATAGGCAATAAATGTCTTGTGAAATTACCTGCATAGGAAAGTCCAATTTTAATAGAATGGAAATGGCTTGTTAAATTGCCTACGTATAAAAGTTCAATTTTAATAGAATGGAAATGGCTTATTAAATTATCTATTTCTGGAAAGACAGCTGATATTTACAAATTAAAAAATATATACTGCATTGATAAATATACTCACACACAAAAAGAACACCAGCATATTTGAATATCGGAAAATGTCTTGGGGCTTATAAGTTTAATGGATGATTTTATGTCATTTCTTCGATTTTTTTACCAAACCTAATTAGAGTAATATTTTAAATAGTTAAGCTTATCAGTTTTCGTAAAAAATTTAATTATAAAGAAAGAAATATAAGTTGATAGGAAATGGTTTGTTAAATTACCAATGTATAAAAGTCCAATTTTAATTAAATGAAAATGGCTTGTTAAATTACCTACATATGAAGGCCAAATTTTAGTGGAATGGAAGTTGCTTGTTAATGAAGCTATTACCTATACGTTACCTGAAGGTATTACTTATTAATAATGTTATTACCTTCATATGAAAGTCCAATTTTAATGGAATGGAAATGGCTTATTAAATTGCCTACATATAACAGTCAAATTTTAATCGAATAGAAATGACTTGTTAAATTACCTATATATGAAGGTCAAATTTTAATGGAAGGGAAATTGCTTGTTAATGAAATTATTATTATAAGTTACCTGAAATTATTATCTATTAATAATGTTATTATCTTCACATGAAAGTTCAGATTTAATGGAATGAAAATGGCTTGTTAATTTATTTATAAATGGAAGTCCGATTTTATTAGAATGGAAATTGCTTACCTATATATTACCTACATATGAAAGTCAAATTTTAGTGAAATGGAAATGGCTTGTTAAATTACCTACATATGAAAGTTCAATTTTAGTGAAATGGAAATGGCTTGTTAAATTACCTACATATGAAAGTTCAATTTTAGTGAAATGGAAATGGCTTGTTAAATTACCTACATATGAAAGTTCAATTTTAGTGAAATGGAAATGGCTTGTTAAATTACCTACATATGAAAGTTCAATTTTAGTGAAATGGAAATGGCTTGTTAAATTACCTACATATGAAAGTTCAATTTTAGTGAAATGGAAATGGCTTGTTAAATTACCTACATATGAAAGTTCAATTTTAGTGAAATGGAAATGGCTTGTTAAATTACCTACATATGAAAGTTCAATTTTAGTGAAATGGAAATGGCTTGTTAAATTACCTACATATGAAAGTTCAATTTTGATGAAATGAAATGATTATTAAATATCTTACATAGAAAAGTCCAATTTAATGGAATTGAAATGACAAATGACGAAGTTCACTCATGTTTATCGTTTTTTCGTCACGCGCTGAATTGCGCTTCAGTTATTATTGGGTATTTTATATTGAAATATTGTTGAGTAGTAACTATAGATTTTACCACCCATGTTTAAAAGTGTATTTTCTTTTAAATGCAATAATTAAACTTTTATTAAAAGTTTAATAATTTCATTTATCTTTAACTATGACTATTAAAAATACAAGAAATTTTTATTTATCTCAGCACAGAAATTGTTTTTCCTTCTGGAAAATTATTTTATGTAGATAATATATAAGAACGAAAATTTCAGAAAATTATAGACGTAAATTAAAACGAAAATATAACTGATAAACTCTAAAATTGTGGAATTTTTTTTTTATTCTTAATCACGCGGATTTTTACAAGTTTCTTTTTGTGTTAAAAATTTTCAAAACAATTGGTTCTTGAGTGGATCAGTTATATGGAAATATAATATAAGAATTCGAGGAGATATGAATACTACTTTTATTTTATAATATTGAGAACAGAATACTCTCTTACAAAGGATTATATAGCCCTTAAACACATTATAGGGCTTGAATGTTTTATGTTGTTAGTAATAAACTCTGAGAAACTTTTTTCTAACTTGTTAAACATTACATACGATAGTTACACCTGCTATGCGTTACAAAGTTTCATACGTCAGGTATTCAGGTTCGAATCCTGGCTGTAGCATGGATGTTTGTTGGTAGCTCAGAATCTACGTTAAACTGTAGTTCTAATTAGCCTGAAAAGTGCACCAAA